ATATATATATATATATATATATATATATATATATATATATAAACATATATGTACATATACTTATTTGTACACATATACTTATATGTACATATAGTACATGTTTCATAAATCCTGACCCCTAATTAATAAATATTACACAAAAATGGTCTAACTGTAAAATGAATAAGCTGCAGGTAGATGTGTTGACTGCTCTTTTAGTAACTCTGACGTGAGCAGCAACTTTGTAACAAATCAAACACAGGTTAGACGTGTTTTGAACGTTAGGTAAGTCTTGTTGCTTAAAGGACATTTCCAGTGTTTGTTGCTGTTTTCAGCAGCGCTGCTGCAGTTCTCCTCCTGAACTGTAGGTGGCACTAAACAGAAAACGTACAGTTAACCAGCAGGAAGTGAAACCAGAAGAAGAGCTCTATGCAGGATGGAAAGAAGAGGAGGAATCTGTTTTTTATACACAATCTTAACTACATTTGAACATTTCTGAAATTTTGCAGAGTACAAAAACAAACCTGCTTGCAGACTCCATCCATCCATCCATCCATTTTCTTTACCCACTTATTCCATTTTGGGTCACGGGGGTCGCTGGTGCACATGTCCAGCAATCACTGTGCGAGGGGCGGGGGACACCCTGGACGGGTCGCAAGTCCATCATAAGGCCACATAGAGACAAACGAGACAAACAACCATTCACTCTCTCACTCACACCTAGGGACAATTTAGCGTTACCAATCAGTCTAACATGCATGTTTTTGGTCTGTGGGAGGAAACTGGAGCACCCGGAGAAAACCCACGCATGCACGGAGAGAACATGCAAACTCCACCCAGAAAGGCCCCTGGACCGGGGTTTGAACCAGGGACCTGCTCGCTGAGAGGCAGCAGCTCTACCAGTTGCGCCGCTTGCAGACTTTATATCATTAAACGCATTTAATAATGCTTGTATAAAAAACACATCCTTACACTCTAAACACAGAATAAAGTGTGTAATGAAGTAGAAAAGAAAGTCATCCCTTTAGAAAAATGAGCAACAAACATAAAATCTTTACAAAGATCTTTGTTATAAAGAGTTTTTCAAACACAGTCTTGTAAACGTAAATGTAAAATCAAACAAATATCAGAAGTGCTCCTCAAAAAACACACGATTGGTGTCAAATTAGAATTTGACACAAACCTTCCTTTACACCCTGAAACCATTTGGACTAATCATAAGCGCTGGGATGTCCTGGGGCCCGGTGGACCGTGTGGGCGGGGGCCACACACTCCTGTACTGATAGGACAAAATTGGATCCAGTAGGAATGCAAAGAAGCTTATCAAGCAACACTTCTAGGCAGTGCTCTCTGCAAGAGCATATGTCAACATCATTTATTAGATGTGGCCAGGAACTCAATTATTTATGATCACAAAACGGGGGGGGGGGGGGATAAAATAAATTAAATAAGGGGGAGGGTAGAGGGAACAGGATCACACGTAGCAGGTAGAATAATATTTGGGGAGAATATGAAATTAATAGAGGCCCCTTAAGGGGGAGAATATTTGTTAACATTAACCAGAGAGCCATGTGTAATGCTTGGAGTATAATTAATCATACTGGACATTTCAGAGCCACATTTACACGCAAGTACAAAATTATTTGCTCACTGGTTTGAGAGAACAAGTTCATATTCTTATTATCACAAATATTTGTATCGCCCACCGATGAAAGGCTGACGTGAAGAATAATGTTTTTGCTTTTGTTTGTGTAACAGTGTATGTAGATCTATAATTGATTAATATTTGCAGTCAAGATGGCTGACACAGCCAAGTGGCCCGAAACAATGATAACAATTGTCCACAACTTAGTCACTTTTACAGATAATGACTTAAAATTTGTCGTAGTAGTAGCTGACACTGATCTACAACTGATGTTCTGAGCACTCAAAGATAGTATAAAATGCTTAATTACAATTTCACCTTTAACTATTACAGTCAATTCTGTTTGTCTGTTAGCAAAATATCATATGAACCACTTAATGGATTTTCTTGGACTTTTATGGAAATAATCATTAAATGTCCATCAACAGAGTCATTATAGAGACAAGATGGCTACCGGAGCCAACTGGCATCTGAAAACACATCAACTGCTAAAAACAGTCAATGTCACATTGAGCTGAAAGTTGGTGTGGTAGTAACTGAGAGTCATTCACAAATCATATTCTGAGTGTGACATTTTGTGACATCGCATGAGGTCTGACCAACAACACTGACATGTCTCAAAATAACAGGATCTTAAGTCTGAAAGTAATTCATTATTGACTGATAAAAAAGAAGTAAATCAAGGTTTAAAAAAATAAAGTTGAATTTTGACAGACGTGTTAGCAGCACTGCCGTCACTCCAGCCAAACATATACTAAGTAGCTTTAATATTGCCAGATGAGCAATCTCTCCAGCAAAGCACTCTTTGGAGATGGTGTGTAATGGACTCCACATCGAACGGTACGGAACAAATCCCAGTGGCAGAGGGAGTTGACAAATTGCATTAAAAACACTCAGTTGGGCCTGGATTGGATAGAAGCTCCTGTTCCTTCTTATCCCATTAAACATGAAAGTGTTAAATCTTTAAAACTTGCTGACGTGCAGAGAAACGCTTCAGCTTGCAGCGACTGTTTGATTTGTGGAGGGAAATGAAGGTGCAGCGCCGTGCCCTCTGAACTGCCGTGCACCTGCAGGGTGCAGGGTCACGCCAGTTAATGACAGCAAAGTCTACACACAGGAGCAGCTTTATTTTATTCAGCTCCAATGACATCATTTAAATGCTTGGTAATGGTGGAAATCCTAAAACATGCATATCACTTGCTTCAGCCTCCTCAAAGTGGGAAATATTAAAGAGATTCAAACTGTCACATCATCCAAGTTTTTCCCTCAATAG